TTTAAACCCTAAAACAACCCTTCAGTAGTCTGTGTAAGTGTTGGTTTTACTTTGACTTTGATTTCTAATTTGTCCCACCTCTCTGCTGTGTAAGGCATGGGGCATATTCAATGGGAGGAGACTGGCAGCAGAATATAACGAAGCTGAGATGAAAACAAAACTATTCGCCAACAGACTGCAGCAGAGACAAGATCTCAGTGATGGAACTCCGGTTAAGGAGAAATGCAGCCAGCGGGTACCATCCTCTTCGTAAGTACATTTACAGCTTTAAATGGCAGCTTTTAGTTTTGAAAGAGCCAACTAATGTTTCTAAATTTAATCTCAGCAGAACATTAACTTTGGTTAAATGGTGATAAAGATCAAAGCCCACCTGTTTTAATGACTTCATCTTCACTGACTCCATTCATTTGTCTTCATCTCTTTATTTCAATAGTGTGTTGTTTTAAATTGTTTTATATTGAAGCACATTTTAGTCAAGTCTACAAATAACTTGAATTGGCTAAGAAATATGCACTCTGTATTATTTTTGAAATAAACACAGAATAAATAGAATATGAAAAGTGAATTCAAGTAATTGGATAAACTAAATGGTATAACCTAATAGGATATGATGAAACTCAAAGCGGTGTGCAAACAGTGACAGTAGTGTAAATAATAACAAGATTATCAGGTGGTTAGCATCACCAGGGGCATTGGTGATGAGGCATTGGTGAATCGCTAAACTAATATTTAGTTATATAACCACTATTTCTGAGAACTGCTTCACATCTGTGTTGCATGGATTCGTCCAACTTCTGGCACCTGTGGACAGGCATTCCAGCCCAGGACGAGTGCACAAATTCCACAATTCCTCTGCATTTTTTGGTTTAGCCTCAGAAACAGCATTTTTGATGTCACCCCACAACTTTTCTATTGGATTAAGGTCCGGGGACTGAGCTGGCCACTCTATAACGTTAATCTTGTTCGTCTGGAACCAAGATGCTGCTCGCTTACTGGTGTGTTTGGTGTCGTCGTCTTGTTGAAACATCCATTTCAAGGGCATTTCCTCGTCGGCATAAGGCAACATGACCTCTTCAAGTATTTTGATGTATTCAAACTGATCCATGGTCCCTGGTATGCAATAAATAGGCCCAATACCACAGTATGAGAAACATACCCATATCATGATGCTTGCGCTACCATGCTTCACAGTGTACTGTGGCTTGAATTCAGTGTTTGGGGTCGTTTGACAAACTGTCAGCGGCCCCTAGACCCAAAAAGAACAATCTTGCTTTCCTCAGTCCACAAAATCTTGCGCCATTTCTCTTTAGGCCAGTCAATGTGTTCTTTGACAAATCATAACCTCTTCAGCACATGCCCTTTTTTCAACAATGGGACTTTGCTGGGTCTCTTGTCGATGGCTTTGCTTCACATAGACGTCTTCTGATTGTTATAGTACTCATAGGTAACTTTAGACCTTCTTTGATCACCCTAGAGCTCATCATTGGCTGAGTCTTTGCCATTTTGGTTATTCTTCAATCCATTCGAATGGTAGTTTTCCATTTTTTTCCACATCTTTCTGGTTTTTGTTGCCATTTTAAAGCATGTGAGATCATTTTAGCTGACACGGCGACGAGTCAGCCTACAGACGGGAGGTTGAGCAGCTGGTCCTGTGGTGTAGCCTCAACAACCTGGAGCTGAACATGCCCAAATATAGTGGAGATGACAGTGGACTTCAGGAAGGCCCCCCACCTTACCCCCACTCACCATACTTGGCAGTACTGTATCAGCAGTGAAGTCCTACAAGTTCCTGAGCTCCACTATCTCCCAGGACCAACATCACGTCCAACATCAGGACCATCACCAAGAAGGCACAGCAGAAGATGTACTTCCTGGTAGTAGCACAGACAGGGACAGAAAGAGACTCAACAAGCTGGTTAATACCTTTTTTGGCCTGCACAGTCGTTCTTCAGAACTCATTTACATATTGCGTTCAGGATTCTTGTAACTGTTCATGACTGCTTTTGACCGGTTAGATTCAGCCTCGGATTCTACTTCCCCTTTTTTTAGAAAACTTATCATCTTAATACTTAACACGAGACAGAAAACCCACTTCTGCTTGAAATACAAAAGTTCCCATTATCGCTTTCAACTGAACAATCAGAGTTACACACAGATTTTCCATCAATGCTTTAAAATCAGACCATGGATCTTTATATTTTGAATACTATACTTGACTAAACATTGATTATTGATTAGACATTGATTAAAACACTATTTATCTATCAAATCTTTACTTTATACGTGGAGCATGATTTTTTTTATGACTTTCTCAGTGTCTTTCTAATTTTTCATCACACTCCTCTCTCTGTCATACACACTCAACTTCACTTCCCCTTTTCAGGGATTTGTGTCTTACTTCCTCTTTTCTGTGACTCAGCATTCTCCACTCTTTGTGATGAGATTTGATATAAAAGCACTTTTCACCATTCCATACAATACAATCATTTTACATTTTTCTCTTACACGTTCTTTAATGATTATCTCAAACAAAACACACACATAAATAATCTCATGATTATCCTTATTACTTTATGCATTCTGCCATAGCATTTTAATAATTTTTCTCTCTCTCTCAACTCCTCTTGCTGCTTCTTGCACACATCCTTGCTGTTCTTGTGTGAATTCTGACTGCAAAGAGACAATTTGCTCAATAGTTTCCTGCAGCCCCTGTTGTAAGGTTTCTGATGCCAGATGATCAGAGGCCAGCTCTGCTGTTATGGTCTGTTTCCTGTGCTCCTTAGCTCTCTCCGGGACCCATTTTTACAGGCTTACCGACACTCAGAAACAGCATTTTTGATGTCACCCCACAGGTCTTCTATTGGATTAAGGTCCGGGGACTGAGCTCCAGATCATGATGCTTGTGCCACCATGCTTCACAGTGTACTGTGGCTTGAATTCAGTGTTTGGGGTTGTTTGACAAACTGTCAGCGGCCCCTAGACCCAAAAAGAACAATCTTTTTAACTCTAACCGGTTCTTTTATCTGAAGGCCCCAAGAAGTAACACTCAGGAGACAGGAATCAGCTTTGCGTAGATTTATTTTCTTCTGGTTAAATGCAGAGTTATTACAGCGCTGGGATCTGTGAGATGACAAGTCCCAAGAGCGTCAATAATCAAAAATCATTCACGGGCTGGGACTGCCCTGTACATGGGTGGAACTCATACGTACTCTTAATCTGTTGGCTCTACACTCACAACATGAACTGGACACAAGGTTCATACAAGGTTCATGCAAATATTCTAGAATGTTCGAATAAGCAGTGTGTGTGTGTTGTTATCTTCAGGTGTTTCTCTATTTTCAGGCGTTTCTCTCTAACTGAAAGTGGACAGGCAGTTAGCTGTGTCACTTACTTCCCTGATTCTGTTGTAAAAAACCCCTTACTCATGCTTCAGACATGAGTGACCAGTTCAAGCCCGTCAGACATTACATCTGTAAAGTAGCATAAATTAACAGTATCTTATCTATAGTTTCCAGAACGACACTTATCTATGCAATCTATTCTTGCACAATTCCAAGAAGATGAAAAATACTACAAGTTGACTCAAAGCTGAATATTATAACTATAATGCATGCATGAGAGCCAGGTTAATACTGATACATGGTGCTGTTATGGAAACACAGACAGTCATTCTAAACTCTCATTATAAAAGCAAAATAATACTAACAGTAAATAAAACAACTGTAACTCCTGAAATCCAATCCTAACAATCTTGCTTTCTTCAGTCCACAAAATGTTGTGCCATTTCTCTTTAGGCCAGTCAGTGTGTTCTTTGGCAAATTGTAACCTTTTCAGCACATGTCCTTTTTTCAACAATGGGACTTTGCAGGGCTTCTTGCCGATAGCTTGGCTTCACATAGACGTCTTCTGATTGTTACAGTACTCACAGGTAACTTTAGATCTTCTTTGATCACCCTGGAGCTCATCAGTGGCTGAGTCTTTGCCATTTTGGTTATTCTTCAATCCATTCAAATGGCAGTTTTCCATTTTTTTCCACGTCTTTCTGGTTTTGGTTTCCATTTTAAAACAGTGAGTCTTTGTTTAGCTGAGTAGCCTATCATTTTCTGCACCTTTTTCTATGTTTTCCCCTCTCCAAACAACTTTTTAATCAAAGTACGCCATTCTTCTGAACAATGTTTGTAACAAACCATTTTACTCAGAAATGCTCTATAACCAGCTTGTACAACATTTGCTGCCTTCATCCTTAAATAAGGGCCACCTGTTTGACACCTGTTTTTTCACAGATTGAATGACCTCACTAATTGAATGCCACACTGCTATTATTTTGAACACCCCCTTTCAATGAATGATTCAGTTATACAGAATCAACAGCATGCATGTCATGACTGTTGGGTCTGTTGGTTTTATATTATTCTACTACACCTACAGTACTAGTAAATTATTTGCCATGAAGAAATGCAATTTCTACCAAAAACAGTGATTGATCTGATTAGTGATGTTGGACTGCTATTATTTTGAACACAACTGTATGTAACGCTTGTTTTATATGTTGGTTAAAAAAAAAAACTATTTTGTGCTTTTCCTAACACCCAAAGTAAATCTAAATAGTCATCTTTTCTCATCCTCCACTGACTCCAAAAGTCAGTGAAATACTGACAAAAATCTTTTTCATGTAGCAAATGTACATTAAAGAGCCATTACTGGCAACGTTAAGGTGGCACTAGCATAGAAAAGTCTGATATCACTAAATGATGATCTGAAAAGCCAACAGGTGATACTGTGGACTCAACCCATTGTTGTATGGTTAGATTAACATAGTCCAGCATGGCTGCCCTCACTAATGTTCACCCATGTGTACTGGACGACTAATGGATGAAACTTCTAAGAAACATCTAAGAGGTCATTTTCTGCAACCATGCTGGACAGAAAGTAGGCTGATGGTTGATGAGGCTGCCTTGTATTTCTATCAACTAAAGGATGTTTGTATTGATATGATATAAGCAAAAAGCTACAGTTAATGAAATTGATAATGGGTGCATTAGATTTACAGTCTTTGTGGAAATGATCAGGCATTGACAATAGTTAATAGTACTGCAGCAGAGAGGTGGTGGAGGGTCCCCACGTCAAACTTTATTTAGGGCCTCATAAAGACTTGAGCCGGTCCTGGATCAGAGGGTGGGCCAACACCATAGTCCAGTATGTTTCTGCCATCATGGCTGCAGTGACAATCCACAAACATGCAGGCATTCCCTGAGCTATAACTGGGAATGTTGCAGAGTAATAAACTACCAGTTTCTGTCTTTTTTCTTGGCTTTGTGTTAATGTTGCATGTTTGGCCATAACCAAACTCTGCAGTGCAACTTAATGAAATGTAAACATATAATCCAATAGCCCCTGTGTTTCTGCACTCAACAATCATTTCAGTGGTCAAAATTTTTGACATTTCTTTTTGACCACACAATCTGTTCAGGTGCATCAATCAAAGTACATTTTCTCAGATCAGTCATATTTCACACAGCCAGAGATCCATGGCTGGCAATAATTCATCACACCTCATGAAGACATTAGTCATTTTGTCCATGACTCTGGTATCATGGCAATAGTAAGGACATGTGGGTCCTTTGTTTCAGTACCTTCCAGATCATTGATGTTTGGAAAAGAAAATAGAAATTTTGCCAGAGGTGCTTTGTGTCTATGTTCAGCCAACTTGTAGATAATAGTTTATAAGAAACAAGGGCTCAGTAAGTTCAGTTCAGTTTTATTCACAAAGTTTTATGTGCACATCTCTTGTTTTCAGGGAAATATTCTAACAGAGATACACCAATAAAATGTTGAATTTATAGTTTGCCCTAAAAAACATTTAATAATGTCTTTGTGAAATTCTCCAGCAGTTGAAGAGGAACAAGAAGTCAGGATTGTTCTTGTTGGGAAAACTGGAGTTGGAAAG